AGGCTGCATGTACTGCATGTCTGCACTTGTTTCTTGGAGCACCTCACAATGGTCCATAAATCTCCCCACTTCTTGGCCAGAAGCCACTCCCTTTAGAAAAAAACGATAAAAGAGTAACCCACTGGAGAAGACCTTTGAGACCTCCCCAAGGATGAAGACCTGTCCATTGGCTGGCCCATGAGGACATCTGTCTCATCTGTTGGTAGCTATTTCCTCATTCCTCTCTTTTTCTCTATCTATACTCTGTTTCCTATATCTCTCCCCTCTATCTCAACTGAGTTCTTAGCATTCAATAAAAATGCATTGCTGTGAATAAACTGATTTGTCCCCGCTATTGTTTGCCTGTTTGCACCTCTGAGATCAAACGAACCATCACGACCTCTTGCCCTGTGTTGGTGGATCGTGACAAGGATGCCACAAGACCCTGGGCTGGGAATCCTTCTCAGAGGTGTCAGAAGAGGAAACTGAAGCCTCCTTTTCTCTGGTGCAAGGGGAGGAACAGGAACAGGAACTTTTGGGCTACCCTGACTCCAGCCTGGCCTCAGAGCTCTCCTCTTCCTGAAGCTGCAAGGAAATAATAACGAACTGAATGTATGAAAAAATGGAGGATTTAAGTGAAGCTCCAGTGAAGGTGTGCTGTGGATACTGAGGATTCCATACAGACATAATGCAGATGAAATAAGACAAAGCAAACATTTTGTTTCCGGTATTAATTTTATCCCTATCAAGCTCATGAATCACATGTGAGTTCTGTGTGACTGCCATGCTCCCTGAAATTCCTCAATACTATTCCATAAATTCTGGCTCCTGCTGCAGGATTTGCAGCTGAGCCTGGAGCTGGGACCTCGTAACAAAGCTCTGGTTATTTTAGGGATGAGGTTTTACCACTATGTCCAGAGTTCCTAGGCCATCATGTCTTTCTGACATGGGAGTAGGGTTCTGAGAAAAGAATCTATCTGGACCTATAACCACCAGGACAATGTTCCTTTTGCCCCAGAGGGAGCATCCACAGGGCAGCTGCAGCACAGGCAGCCCAGGCAGCCCAGCCCAGCAGGCAGTGCCAGGCTCAGCGTCCCCAAAGCACGGCCAGGCAGGAGCATCCGCAGGGACACAGCCACTGCTCAGCCCCAGCACCATCCCCAGGGCCTTCTGCTGCCACCA